ACTCTTTGATGCCATGAGTTTTATCCATGATTTTTATTCTGTTGTCTTTTATTTTCACAGCTTGAAAACAACGCGTGTGTGTGAACCAATAGGAGGCGAGTGCGTCCGTCTACGTCAGACGCAGCGGATGAGGCTCCTCCCCCCTGCTCCGCCTCGGTAGAACCACCGCTCGGCTGTAGCGCTGCGGCTCCACTGGCAGCGGCTCCCGCAGCAGGACCAGTGGGCGGACCGGTGAGAGGAAAGTTGCCAGAAGCCAGCAGCCCGCTGAGCGCCTCACAACCACCGAACCGCTCTGTTAAGGTGAACGGCCTCCCGGCAGCCGCTACCGGAATAACGCCAGCAGAGGACCAGGTGCGGGCGGAGCGGCCACAGGTAGCCCGGCCGTGCGGAGGGTCATGCGGATCTCCGAGCTGTGAACGGCCGCAGACGAAGAGAAGAAGCCGCCAGCAGAGGGAGGACCGCGGGAGGAGGACAGCCGCCAGCATGTCCCGCAGAAAGCAGAGCAAACCTCGGCAGATTAAGCGTAAGGAGACGATAAGTTCATTTTTTCTTCTTCCTGCTGGTTTTCATGGAAATGTTCTTAGAGAAGGAATAAATTCCAGACTGAAGTTGGTGTCTGCTGTGCAGTTTCTGCTTTAATAAAGGGTCATTTCACCAAATATTACAGCCTGGACCGAGCCAGAGCCGAACCAGGTACTGGTTCCACTTTAGAGCTGACAAGGATCCTATGGAACTGGTGATGAATGCATGAGAACCAATAATGGCGCTAATTTCACCTAAAGTGATGCAGAATGGTTCATGTGTGTCAGACTGCAGGACATCCAGCAGCTTCCAATGATTCTCCGAAGTGTAGCCTGCTCTGGTCCACCTTCAGCCGGACTAACCTTAGATCCACCAACAGCATCTACAATTATTTTCATTTATTATAAACATCTGTGATGGGAGTAATATTCAATGATTCATTAGACTGGATCTTAATGATGATATAAAGTGGCTCATTGAAAGTTTTTGACTCTGAAGGCTCAGCAGATCACAGACTGCTTCAATTAATAGTTTTGGATAGATCTGGGTTAAATAGAACCGATCTACAATCCTCTGGTTAATTCAGCTAAAAACAGTGAAATGACTCTAGAACCAGGAGACAAATCAGAACCAAACTTTAGCCAATGTGACATTTAATCACCGAACTGGATCCTGGCAGCAGAACCAAACTCATTTACTGATCCATTCAGAACCTCTTTGCTCCTGGACAAAACTTTCCGCCTGTTGCTCTGTCTCATTGTGTTCAGCCTGTTTCCCATTGTTCAGCCTGTTTCATAGTGTTCAGCCTGTCTGTTTCCCATTGTTCGACCTGTTTCCCAATGTTCGACCTTTTTCCCATTGTTCAGCCTGTTTCTCTGTTCACCCTGTTTCATAGTGTTCAGCCTGTCTGTTTTTGGTCTGTTTCCCATTGTTCGACCTTTTTCCCATTGTTCGTCCTGTTTCTCTGTGTTCAGTCTGTTTCCCGTTGTTCAGCCTGTTTCTCTGTGTTCAGTTTGTTTACCATTGTTCAGCCTGTTTCCCACTGTTCGGCCTGTTTCCTACTGTTCGGCCTGTTTCCCACTGTTCGGCCTGTTTCCCGGTGTTCGGCCTGTTTCCCGGTGTTCGGCCTGTTTCCCATTGTTCGGCCTGTTTCCCGGTGTTCGGCCTGTTTCCCGGTGTTCGGCCTGTTTCCCGGTGTTCGGCCTGTTTCTCTGTTTTCGGCCTGTTTCTCTGTTTTCGGTCTGTTTCCCATTGTTCGACCTTTTTCCCATTGTTCGTCCTGTTTCTCTGTGTTCAGTCTGTTTCCCGTTGTTCAGTCTGTTTCTCTGTGTTCAGTTTGTTTACCATTGTTCAGTCTGTTTTTCTGTGTTCGGCCTATTTCTGTGTGTTCGGCCTGTTTCCCATTGTTCGGTCTGTTTCCCATTGTTCGGTCTGTTTCCCATTGCTCGGCCTGTTTCCCGGTGTTCGGCCTGTTTCCCACTGTTCGGCCTGTTTCCCGGTGTTCGGCCTGTTTCCCGGTGTTCGGCCTGTTTCCCACTGTTCGGTCTGTTTCTTTGTGTTCAGTGTGTTTCCCGTTGTTCAGTCTGTTTTTCTGTGTTCGGCCTATTTCTGTGTGTTCGGTCTGTTTCCCATTGTTCGGTCTGTTTCCCATTGTTCGGTCTGTTTCCCATTGTTCGGTCTGTTTCCCGGTGTTCGGCCTGTTTCCCGATGTTCGGCCTGTTTCCCGGTGTTCGGCCTGTTTCTCAGTGTTCGGCCTGTTTCCCATTGCTTGGCCTGTTTCCCGGTGGTCGGCCTGTTTCCCATTGTTCGGCCTGTTTGCCATTGTTCAGCCTGTTTCTCAGTGTTCGGCGTGTTTCCCGGTGTTCGGCCTGTTTCACATTGCTTGGACTGTTTCCCGGTGTTCGGCCTGTTTCTCAGTGTTCGGCCTGTTTCTCAGTGTTCGGCCTGTTTCTCAGTGTTC